AGTATTATAAACATAATATATAATTTATATTTAGAAGTTATTTTATGAGGTACTATTCAAATAATTTTAAAACAATTGTTAATTTACTTTGTTATCAAATCATTGTTCTTTTTTCACAGTACTTTCCAGGAGCTGATGAACCACTGCAGTATCCATGCCAGTATTCAGATGAAGGCCAAAGCAACTCTGCCACTAGTACAGGTACACTTGTAAAAATAAAAGAACAGCAACATGAAATGATGCAGATGGATTATAAAGTACATTCTCGTATTGATTTTTGTACTCAAATCGGGAAAGGTAACCTTTCCAAAATCTTAAGCATTGGCAGCAATCTATTTTTTTTGTTAAGACCTCATACCGCATCATACTTAGTGTTCTCAGCCAAATGGTTTTGCTGAAGTGTACCTTCAGTGGAGAACAAGCATATAATAAAAGCTGTCTCCGAATGTTGAGGTTTAAGGTCATCTCCTTTTTTCCCCATGAAGGTTGTTAGCAATTGACACTCTTTAAAAAAAATGTAATGTTTAGGAGTTGGCATTTTTAAATTTTTTACTATTCTTGAAAGCTGCACCTGCTTTCAGTTACAATCTCCACAATTTAAACTTGCAGTTGTTTTATGTTAAGATGTAGTAAATACAGTAATTTAAATTAAGTGCAAGGAAATCACTAGAAAAGTGAATGGAACAAAATGAGGGATAGGCTTTCATGTTATCTTGCCCTCAGAGAAATCCTTTTAATAATAGAAAACAAAGATCATTCGGTCTTCTCATTTTTTTTTAGAATACAGTTTTCCCACTTCAGTTGTTTTTCTGCTTGGATGTCTTCACATTCCACTGCTTGGTTGGTTTGTTTTCTATCGCCAAACAAATTGCTGTTATTTTGGATAAAGTTTCCTTGGCTACTTTGCAACTTGGTGACCTGTATATTACAAAATCTTTTCAGCTGTAGCATTGTACTGGCTTTACTAGCTGTTCTCCACCCCTCAGCACATGATTTTAAGATATGATTTATCACTTTAAACTGTGAATATGTATTGTCTGTTATTTCTCGGGTATTTGTGCTGCTCTGTGGTTAATGATGGACTTTGTCATTAATTGTGAATTAGCTTGCTGGTGGTGTTGTTAATATAACATCTACTCCAGCAATTTCAGAGCAAGCTAAAGACTGACTTCAGAATGTCATCACAGTACTTAGTTGTGTATTCTCACTTTTTCCCTCCTTTTACTTTTTACATTAATGGATCTGTTGCAATCTTGCAGTTCACCTTTTAATAAAAGTTTTCAAAAGTGTTGCTTTAAATCAAAGTTAGGCTTCTGGGAATGCTCAAGTGAAGAGATGGGCTTCGGTATTTTTAATGGAAATTCTGAAATGTTTTTCCTTGCTATTGATATCTAGGTTCATTCATGGACATCACTTCTACAAATACAAGTAACAAGAGTGATGCTAACGTGGAACCAAGTGACTTCCAAGGAGCTTCTACCAATGACACTATTAAACGTTTAGAGTCAAAATTAGCACAGCAAATGAAAAATACAGCCAAGCAGCCGGTAAGCCAGTGCATGCAATTTTGAATCATAATAATGAAATGGACAAAGCTGGACAAAAGGGTTGTAACTGCTACAAAACATTAGTGTCTTCTTCCAAAAATAGTACAAAGTTGGAGACAGTTAGTTATAGGAAAAGAACATGAAAGGGGATGGGAAAATATTGAGTGATTCCAAAAAGGTAAACTGGAAGGCTCTAATAAGATCTCCAATGAAATAAAAAATACAGTTCATTTTATTTAAAGGGATTCATTAGGTTAAAAAAAATTATATATTTGAAAACTGCTGCCTTAGTTTAGACCCAAAATATTAGTATAACATGAAAGGATTAAACATTGATGTGAATTTTGAAAATACTACGTTTTATTTCAAGTAGGATGAAAAAATACGAAGACTCTCTTGTGACAATATTGGCCTAGTTCTACTCAATTTTTATCTGCCTAAAGTTAGGTTCTTTTGAAAGTTGCAGGTTTCTTGTATGCCAGTAATAGCTAAATTATTACCATTTGTTGAATTACAAGTTTTAAATCTTGTCACTTTTAAAATGCACATTATAAAAATATATTTTAACCTACATACTGTGCATATTATGGAGGGGCTTCTGCAGAATGTTTTCTCTTTTTAAAAATGTGACTGTTGAAACAGGGTGATCCTGGCCGTTTGAGTTTACCCCCATCTCGTGGGAGCAGTGTGGAGAGCTTGTCAGACGTTCGTGCACGACCACAGTCAGCCCTTGTTTCGGGAGAAGCCAAAAGGATGAGTGCTGACATGTCTGAAATAGAAGCAAGAATAGCTTCCATCACAGGTAAAATGAAAGGATGTTTGGGGCATAGACTTAAGGAATTGGAAGGAAGGAAAGGAGGAAGAAAGATGTAAAACATGCATAGTCTTACGGAAGGTTAATACCATTAGCTGTATGAAAATGCTTCCAACTTTTCATGTAGATTTTGTTGTCCTTTATTAATTGCAGGGGAAAATGGCTTCATTCACAGTTGTACACTCAACAAGGTTGAGCACTTTAATTGGGTACTTTTAAGGTTGCGGAAGAGATTACTTTTGTTGCATTAGACTTCAACCTTTTTAAAAAATCATTATGAGACTTCTAAATATCAGTCCTATTCCAAATGCACAATTTTCTCCTTTGCATCTGAAACAATGTTATTCCATCTGTGCTATCATAATTATTTTAGAAATAACATTTCCTTCAAGGTTATTCTATACCATTTTGAAATTAAGAGGTGGGTTCAAAGTTCAGCATGGTCCCAAATAAGTTTTAAAATCCACTTTGGCAGATTTCAGAAAGAGAAACATAGTTAGATTTTATTCATCAGATTAACAAAACATCGGTATCTTTTGTTAAAAAAAAAAAAAAAAGGTCCCGGTGTTTTGCCAGGTTTGCTTCAGGTAGCTATAAACAGTTGTGACTAAACATGGAATCCTTGAGTGAATTGGAATTTGTGTGTAAGTATAAATACATAGTTTTATGGTGACAGCAATCTTTATTCTTCCCAGAAGAGTGAATTAATAAAAATGCGTATACTTGGCAAACACTTTCTTGTCTCTTTTCTTCATCAAAGATACTGTTTGTTAATCTATGCAAACGTCAGGTGTTAAGTTTCATATGTGAAACATTTTGTTATGGTATATAACCACAGAGTTAAATAATCAGACAAAATTACTTTGGTTAGTCCAAGGATATTTAGCTGTTCTAGTATTTTTCTACCAATCTGAAAATTAGGGTAATATAGTAGCTGTAATTAATAAGGAAATACACGTCATATTCTGGCTTTCTTGTGCACCATGACTATTTCATTTTTGTTCTTCACTGTATTATGATTACTCCAGGATCTTGTTTTACTAAATACTGAAGTTACTTATGAAATAATATTTATCTTGCCCTAAACACTTTTTACTTTTATGTTTTTATTTTAAAGCCTTATTCCAAGATTTGTCTTTTGTATTGTCAGTCTTTGACTGGATGATTGTGTAGCACATCTTACCCTGAATATCTGTAAAGGTTTCCTAACACAGAAGGCAGCTGTGTACTTACCTGATAATAACAACATGCTGGTTTTATTTTAAAAATATGTCAGGACTCACTTTGGTCACTGACACTCTAAAGTCAATGTAAGTTTTTGGCATTAGTGGAGATAACCTGGCCCTCCTTTGTGTGAGTTTTTAATTTTCCTGGTTTGTCTTCCTTCAGTACGTTGCTCTGAATAGTAGTTGTTATTTCAGAATATTCTAAGATTTTTTTGTTGTTGTTATGACGGTAGGGTTTCTTTTTCTTGAAACAAAAGTATACATTGGGCATACTAGTTGTTTTTTTTAAGAAATAACTTTATGTAGTAGTGGACTACTAGAAATGAGATCAAATCCATCTGACTGTAACTTTTTCAAAAAGAGCTGAAACAGCTCTGTATTGGTTTTGCTTTTGTTTTTTAATCTTGTTAAGTGTGTGACAGAAATAATATGCTGTGAACCCAAAAAAAAATTGTGTGGCTGGGTGAGAATTGGGCTGTTCTTAAGAGTAAATCAGGCCGAGAATTATTTAATCTTCTTGTTCCATCTATCACTAGATTAAGTGTAAGAGTAAATCACATAAGGCACATCACCATTACTTAGTAAGTTTGAGATGGATATGCTGCAATGTTCTACCTTTGGGAGATGTATTCAGACTTTTCTCTAAATCGGAACTATTTATCTTAAACCACACAAGTAGTAAAATAAAAAAATGTATGATTAGATTTTATTCCAAAATATATAATGTTTCTTGAACATCATTCAAAAAAGAAAAGGTTGGTAGTGATATCCATTTTGCAAAACAAAAAACCTTCACTAGTAGGACAAAAGAATGGAAGGCAGGAATGATTGTGAAATGTAATAAGAGTAAGCATTTTTTTCAGAGACAAATGGGATTTCCTTTCAAAGGAGGTGATCTAAAGAAACAGATGTACCCAACTATTAATCTTGTTTATAAAATAGTTTGTAACCAACACTAAAGAGAAAATGTTATATAAGTTCAGGCAATCAAGAATTTATTCTGAATATACAGGTGATCTAAAATAATTTAATTTTGTTCTCCGTTTGGATAATTACATTTGGTTTTCCCCTCCTTGTTGCCATGCTGCTTTCTGTGTTTGACTTTTGTGTTGCTAACTATAACTAATTACACGGTGTTGTAATGACGGCTAGTTCTGCATTTTTTGCTTTTTAACAGTTGCTTTACTATGTGTAAGCATGAGTGGAAGGCAATGCAGTTTATTCTGCATGACACATTTTTGCATGAACTGTAGTTTAACCAAGTTTATGAAAAATGCAATATTAGGAATTTAATAATTTTGCTATTGCCATTTTAGTGTTTTGCATGTGTATTGTATATGTGTATTTTTTCAGCCTATTCCAAGCCTAAACGAGGCCATCGTAAAACTGCTTCATTTGGCAACATTCTGGATGTCCCTGAGATCATCATACCAGGTATCGCAGACCAGGTGAACGGGTCAATTGATTAAGATGCCGGAATAATGATCAGACTGCTAAAAATACTTCTTGCTCCAGTTGCTCTAGGACAGAACTAGAAACTATCCCAATAGTTTTTTCATAATTTCTCTGTAAAGAGGAGCATGATATTTTAGTACAAACTTACTTTTATCGGTAAAGGATTTGATCTTCTAGTTCGAATTTGCTTCTGTTGATAAAGGATTTTTTTCCTTTATGATTTGATGTTAAGAGTCGTCTTATAGAGCAAAACTACATATGCAGTCTCTTATTACAGTACCTCATTTGGTGAAAATGGACTTAAGTTGAAAAATTCTTGTCTAGGTAATTATCTTGCCCTGATCTTTGCTGTGTTTGAGCACCCATTTTTAATCTAATCAAATATTAGAAGAACAAAAAACTTGAATACATTACGTACAGATCTTCAAATCCATGTGATACTTGTGATTTTAAAAAAAAAAAATAATGCTTAATCTGTGTAATTCTTATATTTGACTACACTTTCCTAGAGCTAAAAATGCGTCTGCATGAGGTATTTCTGTTGTGTTTAAGTTAATGCAAACTAAAACTATTAGGAGAGGCTTCTGACAGGAAGAAAATCAGTATAATCAGGCACCATAGCTGGTAATTTCAGTTGGAACTTTAATGAGTAATTGTCATCTATCCCAAGCCTACATTTAGTTAGCAGCATATCGTTTTCCTTTCCCATTCCTTTTTTTGCAAAGTGTATTGATTTCTTTCATTTCATACTTCTCAAAGCCTAAAAATAACTATAAGCAATCCCAAACTGTGATAGGTATACCATTAGTGGTATGCAAGTTGCTTCAAAATGATTTGTCAGAGGCAGGAGATGCAATTAATAGTATCTACTGCTAATCTAGATAAAAACTGTGGACCCCCTACCTTAAATTTGTGTCATCTGAGGAAGTTTCCTTGTAAATCTTGGAATTGTTTGGTATTTTAAAGTTGAATGGAAAAGATAATTTTGTACAAAAGTTTCTTTCAAATAACTTTATTGAAGTTTACATATAAAAATACAGAATGTCAAAAAGTAGATTCCAAAGAGCAATAGCACTAGCCATGAAAAGAAAACCTGTTTGACATTGAGGCTGTCAAATCGGTAAGAAAGTCTATGAATGTAGCTTTGCACTGTGATTCTTCAAATGGTCCTGGCCTGCCATGACATAAGTGAAATCCGGAGAGAGCAAGGCAGGAGAAAGTTAAGAGATCTGTCAAGTTTTGCAGGGTCAACACATGACGATAGCCTGGTAAATAAGCTCTAGAAGCTGAGCGGCTCTTGTCTGTGCACATTGTCTGCATGTAACAGCACTGCGGCTTCCAAGAAACCTTGAAACTTTTAGAGACTAATTAAAAAGTCGGTGAAATAAAACACCATGTTGTTTCCACAAAATAGATTGTACCAATCTATTGGTTTTACTTATTTAGGCAGAGGAAGTCAATCAGATATTCTTTACGTGGACTATTTTAATTGAACTTGACAGGATGTGAATTCCAAGGTGAATTTGGAATAGATACAAGAGAAAGAGCAACCTGTAGAAATGAAAGAAAGTATACGGTTGGAGCAAGCATATTAATGAATTTTCTCAAAATTTACTCTTAAGGTATATGTCTTAAATAAGCTATAATGAAATTCACTGTTAATGCTTTATCAGAAGCAACTATTCATAAAGAGGAGGATTAGAGTATCGCATAGGGTGAATTTTGTTGTGACTGGGGAAAAAAAATAGAAATCAGGTAAAATCCAGGGTCATGCACTGTGGCTCATACACTAGCAACACTTTCTTTTAATAAGATGACATAGAACCATAGCAGATGCATGCAGATTAATCCCAGGTAGTATAAGCCACTAATATAATGCAGTTGTGAAAAACTGTGAAATCTTAGGGTTCATTTCCAGGAAAGATAAGGAAGCACTAACACTATTTACAGGTTCTTGCTGAGGTTTAATCAGGAATCCAACATGCTGTTCTGGGCAATGCAAAAGAAGCATGTGTGCTCTGAAATAATAGCAAGAGCTACTAGGATGGTATGGAGAGTATAAAGAAGAATCTGAAAGCATGGCTTTTCTAGCCCCAAAATGAAAGCTGAGAAATTAATAATTATTTTCTATAGATTAATCTGCAGCTGAAGACTAGGAAGAGAGAACTGCTTAAGCTAAAAGACAGTATTGGCACTACAGAAAAAAGATGTAAATTGTCTGCAAATAAGTCTGGGCTGTATATTAAAAGTTTTCTGGTTGTCAGAACAGCGTTCCTGTAAGAATCCCGAGGCCAGAAAAAAAGATTAATCGTTACGTGACAGGGATGTGATTATCTGCCCAGTAAACTAATTATATTTATCTGTATACTTAAAGCAGTTATTCAGAAGTACCTTGCTCAGTTATTCTTTTAAAGACAATATAACATGGCCTATTTTTCACCTCTCTCCTTTCCTTAATTTCTCAGCACAAAGCTTTCAGTCCTGGCCTCTTTAACACGCTTTTCCCCTTCTAGTTATACTTCCAAGACCCCCAAAACAGCATCTGCATCTCAGTCCCACCCCGTTAACGTTCCTTAGCACTTCTGTCACATACCCAGCTCCTCCGAACGTCCCTGGGCATGTCCATCAGGTGGGCGAGCAGCCCGTCTCCATCCTCGGGGCAGTGTGAGTGCTGACCCTGCCCATGCTGCTGCCTGAAGTTTCTGCTGAGCACATGGTAAAGCAGCTGCTTCCCAGAGAGGGGAGGCACCACGCAGGCATGTTACCGTGAGTCAGCTGCTTTGGGGCAGGGCTATTTTAGCAGTATGAGCACTACATCTGCTATCATTGGGGTTTTTCGTAACGTGTTGCCTCAGCTGCTTTTCATCCATAAACTGATTACGTTACTGAGGTCGTAAAATACAAATTTTTATCAGTTGAAGGTAAAATGTTGGCAGAAGTGGAATTTTTTAAATATATATTTGCTCTTCTTTCTAAATAGGTTTAAATAAGGGTGAATAGAACTTCTTCACTTAAGATGCTATCTTGTGTTACTAGCTTAAAAAACTTGGAAACTGAAAAATGGATCAATTAATTCCTTTTTTGTGTAACAACTTGGCAAATGAGTTTTCAGTGGCAGTATCCTGCAACCAGATAGCCACGTGAAGTATCAATATTTTTTTTTTCAATTTATAGTTTATATAATATATAGTATAGATAATAAGCACCAACATTTTATTTTTACATATATATTAAAAACAAAAGCCCTAGTAAATACAAAAGGCTTCAGCAGCTATATATTTAAAGAAACAAAAAAATCTAAATATAGTTTGTAATAGGATGATCAAGAAAAATAATCAGAACACTTTTTCAATACAAACCAGTCAAGCAGCATCTAGCAGATATACCTTCCAAGTACAGACTTTTCTTCACTGGCAACATTAGTCATCTCATGCATATAGCGTGCATGCGTTTGGCTTTGTAATTTTGTCATCTGAAACTGTGCCACAGCATTAAGATTTTTATAGCATTGACACTGCATAAGTGATTACTCAGGATAGACACATTTTGTTGAGTGTCTTTAGAAAGTGGATAGGAATTATAGATGCTTTAGGTCTGTAATTTTTCCATCTACTTTTAAAACCAGTATAAGCCAGAAATCCCACCCTTGTCTCCCCAGATCACTTCATTCTTCTGGCATTCAGATCAATGTTTTAACTTCTTTAAAATGTCTTCTAGCACTGTTACATTCACTCATCATCCTGCACTGCGAGAGGCATTTGGGTCTTGTAGGTGTGTAAGGAAGAGAGAGTACTGTGCGCAAATAAGAAAGTGTAAAAGGAGACGCAAGTATCTGCTAAAGGGCAGGGAGAAGAGGTCATAGCTGGTCTGGATATTTTGGGGGGTGGTGGTGATCAAAAGCCTTAATAAGTTGTAGAATTTGTTTTTGCTGGGGTATGTGGGGCAGCGTATGATGGAAGTTTCCTGTTCCTTTTGAATTTCATTTTAGAAAATAAACAACAGTATGTGAAATGGGGTTTTTTTGAGGCCAGAAAGTATGTTTGTGATGTTTGATTTTTAATCTTAAAATCCTGTAAACTGCTGAAATCCTGACATAGTGCATCAAGCTACTGTATATTGACTTAATATAAAGTCCTGTGCATTTACAAATCTCTTAGTTTTTATAATGAGAAAAAGTTAGTTTTAAATGGACGTAGAGATAAGAACAAGATCAAAACTGTGAGAGGAAAGCATAGAGAAGTAGCAGTGATCATTTCAAACAAAGATTATATGTTGTATATTATATTTTTCAATTGAAATTTGTCTTGAATCTGGAGCAATAAGTATTTGTTGATTTGTAGTCTGTTTCTGCTTTGTCTAAGCTATTTGCCAGATGTCTGCAGTAGTTATACTAATTAAAATGGCATTGCCTAGTAGAGCTTGCTCTTCCCTCATGCTACTAACTTGAAGAAATTTCATTTAAAGGTGTTCCTTTATTACAACACGGTAGTTTTGGCCCCTCTTTCTCTCCCCAAGGCATTTTATTTTCTTTATTCCACCCCACCCTGATTATTTTAACATTTTGGCAGCCATGTTCTAATATTTCAGCAACACATGTGCTGGGTTCTTTAAATTCACAAATGTTGCTAATCTGAAATGAGAATTTCAGATATTTTTGCAAGCCTATTTCAGCTGAGCTAATTTTATAACAGTGTTGTTGAATGAAACGTGCACATAATTTTGTATCGGTCGTGGGTGGATCGCCCATATCTTGAATAATGAGATGAGCTGTGGCAGCCAAATGAAGCATCTACAGCACAGAATTCTATGAAATGTATAATGTTGTTTGTTAAATGATTAGGTAGTGAAAAAGTTCATTGCAAATGAACAAGTTCAGAAATTTTCACATAGATTTGTCATTCACACAATGTCTTAAAGTATTAAACATAATACAGCCGTTGTTGCTTAGGTAAGTATATACTTCCCCTGAATTTCAGAAGCAAAAGATCAAGACCACGCAAAAGTTGCAATTCAAATTCATTTGTAGTCAGAGCAAAGAATATATTCACGTTCTAGAATTCTTGATTTTCTTATATGCTTGTTTCTCATGGTACTTTCTATAAATTTTAGACTATAAAATGTCATGACAAATTGATAAAGTGACACTGAGAATTTTGTATTGCTGTTTTGTGTTAATGTGTTCCTACATGTAGTAGTTCTATATTTAAAAATCTAAAGTATGATACCATTAAATGTATTGATTAATATTAAATAGTCTTCACATTTTTGTAATAACTGTTGCAAATCAAAACACCTGTCAAGATAGGCTGTGGAGTCATATGGAACTGATGCTGATTAAGAAGTATCTAAAAGGTTAAAAACGTGATGCCTGTCGCAGGGCTTTGAGTGAGCTGGGTTGGCTGTCGTGCGCAGGGTCGCTGGGCGAGGGGCTGCCGCAGCTGCGGGACATGTTTCAGATGCTCCCCTCCAGTAGAAAAGTTACGTAATGCAGAGCTAAGAGCAAGAATTTTGAGCATTGTCAGCTGTTACTCAGGGCATTTTGGTGTTTCCTTTTGGACAGCTGACCTGCTCTCAAGAGACAATATAAACAATCGCCGTAATAAAAATCAAAGTAGCCAGGGAGATTCCGTTGCATAATCTCCTTTTCTTTTTAAGGAGACTTTGTTTCCTGGAAATGCCTTTGATTGCGTGTCAGTGTTAAAATTTAAACCTTTTTATGTTGCTGTCACTAGTGGATAATTGCTAACAGGTGGAAGGAGAAGAGGAAAAGATTACAGCATTGTGCTCAGTAGGTCGATGGTGAGATGTGATTTAGCTGAACAGTCCCCTTTTCACACTTCTCAGAGCATGAGAATAGGACATAGTTTCATTCATCTGAAGGAGACAAAGATCAGAAGGAAGCACTTTCGCTTCTTAATTTTCATGAGGGGGAGCGGCACGCGGACAGAAGTCCTTGCTGTGTTCCTTGAGCACGCCAAAGAGCAACAGGTTAAAGCTGGCAGCCTGTTATCTTCGCGGTCTAGCTTTTAGAAATCCCCATAACGTAACGCACTTGAAATAGATGTCGTCATCAGCTCCTGCCCCGAGTACTAAGCCTGACCAAATACATGTGACAGAAGATGGTGGAGTAGAGTGCAGCAGCTATTCATGTGGTAGGAGTGGTTATTGTATTAGGGTATACTTTTTGTTGACAGGCCAGCATGTTTTGAGTTAAAATTCTGCAGCTGTCTCTCTCTCCCCCTCTCTCACTTTCTCTCTGTGGATTTGTACAAATTCCAAGCTCCTCTGCAACAGTCGCACCCTTCTTATTTTGTTCTGAATAGATTTCACTGGTTTGTTTTTGTTTTGCTTTTTTCCCAGCAGGAAACGGACAGCAGAGGCGCAGATCCATTCAAGATCTTAGTGTTGCTGGAACAGAGTCCAGTCAGGTAATGTCTTTCTCCTCTCTTCTTTATCTTTCAGTAAAGTCCACACCGAATCTGTACAGGGAAACTGCTCTGGAAATCTTCACCTTTGATGCTTTCGTAGAAATGATGTGGAAGCTTGGCAGACTGTAGTGTCATTTGTATTGCATTTAAATGAGATTCCATGAGCGTAATCTATGAATGAGCTCTAGATGAGAGGTGTTTTCTGTATAGCTCATGCAGCATTTATCATTTTTATTTACACATAGCTTTTGTGTACCACTTAATTTGGCTGAGGGCAGATGTTACGCAGAAAAGCCTTTTCATCTCTCCATATGTAGAAAACAACTGTAATTACTACTTATGATTGTCTGAAGCACTTATACATACATTATACTCACTAAAAGCATGTGCATCAGTATTATAAATGTATTTATTATCAGTCTCTGAACCCTAAATAGGAACTTACAGTCATATCTCTCCATTCCTTGTCAAAGGCTTACAGGAGGGTGCTGTCACAAAGTTTGGTTTAAAAGAAAGGCTATCTCAATAAGATATTTTATAATAACGTAGCTTCTTATCTGGTATCATGCATGCCATGGTAACAGACACGGTGGTATGCTACATAAAACTGAAATTAAACTAAAACCAAATTAAACTAAGAACGTGTTAAATGCGAAAAGTACAGCTACTGCTTCATTCAGATGTATTTATTTTGTGGTTTTAATTGCTTTGTTGTCTGTTTCAGTAATTCACGGAGGCTATTTGGTCGTTAGTGTGAATTGGCAATTTTGAGATCCCTACTATTATTTGTATATGGGAAACTGGAGCTTAGCATATTCATGAGGTTAATCAGGTTTCCATATTAAACAACCTACTGCAGTAATCTAAAATAGGTGGTAATTTTGGGGGTGTGTAGTTATCGGGGAGATGAACATTTGATCCTTCTTTAGTTCTTTGGAGTGTGATAGCCACAGAAACTTCATCAATCCCCCAGGTATTATCAGTAGAATTTACTATGTACATCTATCAGAAAATAACAAATGAGTCTTAAATGCATTTTAATATCTTCAGAGAAGACAAGTTTGTTATAAAGAAATGAACCTGCAAAATTGAGCAAAGAAATAGATTAGTCTCTTCAGTTAATTGTAGAACTAAAATTATGCAACACTTGGGAAAAAAATTGACAGTACATCAGTTATACCAAATTGCACTGATTGATGTATGAATATATTTAATTATAGCTTTTTATTTGAAATTTTTCATTCTCTTCATTGTAATGGTTAATATTTAAAAATACAGAATTTCAGCATTTACTTCATATCTTAATATTTGTTATAATAATCTTTCTTTGAAAGCTGTTCTACTGCTTGTATGAATGTTCTAGCTAAATTGCCCTTGTGACTAGGAGGATACAGAAAAGTTTTTTTGTTTACCTCACCAATTTCTCATGAGGGTCTATAGAAGTACCAGAATCACATTTTACTTTCTTGCTTCTGATAGTGTACATATTGGAAATCTAAGTAGAAGAATTACAGTTATCTGCTTCTGTCTTGCCATTTGGGGAAACGTTATGACAAAATCTGGAAAACATAATATTTTAACAGGCATGAAAAATGCACTTTGGAATAAATTCTTGCGCTGTCCATATAAACAAATAATGAATTTTCATCCCTTTTTTGGTGTGAGAAGAGATAGAAAAGTCTGCTGAAACTAATGCTAACTTTTGACATGCATATGTTTGTATATTTTTGAAAAAATAAATTGGAAAACAGTGAAGAAAGCAAGCACGATGTAACCGTGGCAAAAGACTTAAGATTACGCTTTATGGGTTTCTATAACTCTGGACTTCACTGCCTTTAATTTTTATTAAAAATCTGAACTGCAATCCATATAAGCAATCTGCTAACCAAAGCAGAAAACACATCTGTGACTGGCGTAGCTCTGGTCACTTTATCGTATCTCCCCATATGTACCATACCATATATAGGTTATCCTTTCTAATGTGAAAATCCCCTTCCCCCTCCCCCCCTTCATTGCAAACATCCTTCTTCCCCGCATTCCATTCTCCTTTACACCCACCCTGCGGCGCAGCCTTCTTCACCGAGTCACCATGGCACTGCGTGCCTCCACTCCCGCACCCAGCCCTTGTAAGCCCCCATCCCGCTCAAAATTGAAGGATTGCCACGGGGCCGCTTTTCTGTTTTTTTTAACTATTTGACTGACACGCTAAAGCTGAACACAAATCTTTTTATTAAACATGTTTTTCCTGAAAATTGCTGCTGTGTCAATAGAAAATGATTCTGTTACAACGATTTTTTTAATCAGGAAGGATTTTCCAATTGAGAATGGAATTTTTGTTAAGGTGGAGGAAAACCCTGGACTTGATAATAATAAATATACCAAAGTTTGGGGTGCTTACCTGAAAGGGTAGACCAAGACTCTTGTCCCCCTGCTTAACTGCTGGTCTGTTTTAATCTGACCTCTTGTAGCTTTTATGGTTGTATGTACGTTTTATTTCTGTGTACTGTTAAAATAATTTTTTGTGTGATTTGTATGGATGAGGATTACTATTTTTATGTTGTTGAGACAGTTAAGGCATTTTCTGGTATTGCTCTTACCGATGTTATCAACAGCAGACAGTAACAGTGCTTCGCAGATGATTTTACTACTCAACTGACCCTTTTACATCAACGGTTTAGATAGGAAAATATGCTAAGCCAAAGGTTTTCCGTCATTGGAGCAGCTGTTGGAGTGGTTTGGTGTTGAGAACATGTGTTTAAGAACGATTTTTCACAGATTTCTCTAGTGCTTTGTGACCTTAGACTGGACCTTACTCCAAGTGACATGTGCAGCACTGATGCAACCCTCTCTGTACAGTCAAATGCTACATTTCCATTTGTTTCCATCCATATACTGTGATGCTTTACTCATTTTTCCATGTAATTTTTTTTTTGTTTGTTTCTTCTGCCTTTCTGTTTCCCTGTACCGTGCATTTTAAAACATTGCATTGTGCCGTCTGTCCGGCACTACTGCTCTTACACCTTTGTAACACAGAAACAGATGGTGCAGACAACTGCAGCCATAAAAACTTTCAGGGGCTTGAAGGGACACAGCAAACCTGCTAGTTACACTGGACAGAGTCTTTACAGAATTTGGTATTTTATACAGATACTGAGAAACATATTTGGCATAATCACTCAAGAACCACAGGTTGTGATCAGTTGCCTAGTAAGTTACCCATGTCCTTGCCTGTGTATCTTTTATTGCGTTGGTTGTTTTGGTATGTCATCCTTCACAGTGCTATCATAATATCAAACCTACCTCTTCTAAACTTTTTTTTTCTTTCTTTTTTTTTTTAATAACTTGCTGGGCCTTCATAACTCTTACAGTTTACTTTGAAATGGAAAAAAAATTAGTATACTAAAGAAGACCATGTAGGGTATGAAACAGTTGAGAAGCAAGGTCAGAATGTACATGCCCACATGCATGCAAGCTAAGTGTGATAATTTGGGGGATCTGATATTATACAGATGAATCATTCTGTCTGTGAGATTGTGAAATTGGTCACAGATACAGTTTTTTTCCTCCCCTTTCACAGTGTGATAAAATCCACAGATGAGGAGATGGGGCTAGTAACGATAATTTCTTTAAATTGGGTTGTCCATTTAAATTAAACTTGAGGGAGCGTTACTCCTCAGAGCACGCCAGCTTTTCAAGACTGCCAGTCTTCGAGAAGTGGAAGCTAATAATGCCATGTGGGTTTGGCCACCTGGCAAAGATGATTTCAGAGTAACCTGGTAACATGTCTGTTGAGCGTACTGAGATACCTGGAGGAAGCAAGGATGAAAGAATACCCATGAAAGGGTAGCAGAAACTGGTTGCTGAAGAACAGCTGCTGGCTTACCTGTCAGAGGGGCTGGCGTCCAGGAGGCCTAAAGCATCTCGCTGAACACAACGTTCGAATGCTGTAATCTAACGGGTTTTCAGTTTTGGGAACGTCCCTTGGACTTTGCAATGCTTTTTAGATATGCTTCAAATAAGAATCCTTTGTTTCTATCTCTAGTAATTTTGTCTAACTAATGTTTTCAAGTTTTCTGATGATGGATCAAAACAATCTGGTACAGCAGGCAATCTAGTACAGTGTTGAGAAGTTACTGTAACTAGAGTACTTATCAGGTGCCTTTTGCTATCAATTGTAGATACTCAACAAATGTCTTTTTGCCTAAAGGACTTACACGCTCTTAAAAGTGCTTGCTCTGCCTTCTGACCTTTCACATCAGCAGAGCGTGTTTATGGTTCATATCTGAGGAGCCTGACAGTAAGCAGTAAGGTTGGCAACTTAAACCTTGCTTGATGTCCACAAAGACTCTAACAGAAAAACTTTTTCAAAGTATGTGATGCCGTCATCCATCAGATTATTTCTACAATAGTTTCTGTTTCTGGTTACTAACATAAAATACTAGATGGTTAATAAAAATTACAGGTGAAACATAATGCAGTTGAAATAATGGGTATTTCAGTGTTTAGAATCTTGTTACTCTTTGGATTGTTGCTTGACTGAAATCCTGGCTTTGAAAAATTAAATTAAGATAGGATATTTGGAAATTAGAGTCATAAAGAAATACAGTTTCCAGGTAATGCATATTTGAGTGCTTCTTTTGAAAAATAGGGACATTTAATTAATCATTTCATGACAAATACATCATACTGAAAATAGTTGTATTTTAATAGCATCTTTTCTTTTTACTTCATTTTTTTTCTGCAAAAGTCTCTGGGGTTTATAGTCTTCAGTCCTTTACTGTGTTAATTTTATGTTGGTGGGCGGTATATGAAATACAAGAATATATATTGTAAATAATAATTCTGAAAAAGAAGGTCAGTAGAACAATGAAGGCTGTATTATGTTTTTGCGCTTTGGTAACCAAAAGGATTGGAGGAGTCAAGCTGTATATAAAGGAACTTCCTATGGAATTTTGGTTTAGTTCTTGATTTGCTTTGTGAGAGAGAATGTACTCATTTTCTAATTGCTTTGCTTTAATTGATTGATCCTTTTTGATGAAACACTTTTCTCATCGTTTCTGAAGATGAGTCACATAACCTCTGAGTTAACGTAAGAACCATAAGAAGACTGTAGATTAATACAGACTGCACAGTCAAGTACAGTTACTAAGCTGCATTCCTTTAGTTGAATGTAGTTCCATTCGTTGATTAAATATGGAAGCAAACTTTATCTCTTCCTTACGTTATGGAGCTGCTAGATTTCACTGAATAGTGGTGTGAAAATAAATAGACATAGTGTTGCACCTTATATAGAGACCTTGAACACATTGTTCAGCACTGCTTTTTATTGTGCTGAATAGCCAAATTATATATATTTTTTTTTATTATTTTTTTTTTATACACAAAGATGGGAGTAGAAATGGGGATGAAATTATCCCTGCAATGCATGTAAAGTTTATCAAACTATCTGGAGACCTTTCAGGGTAAACTCTTGGGGAGGAGGGTATTTGGGAAGATTATAGGTTCAGTTTTCATCACATTTATTTTTCTTTTTAATAATGTTTTTTAAAATGAACCCTTCAAAAAATCTTCTGTTAACTTTTCTTGTCATTTTATTTTGTTTTCTTTTATCATTTCAGGAGAGTAGAAACAGCAGTAGATCATCTAGTCCTAGTGTGAGAATGATCACTACCTCGGGACCAACCTCTGAAAAGCCAACTCGTAATCCATGGACACCTGATGATGCAGGTAATCCTTTGTTCATTAGTTAACTTTTTGCCTCTAAAAAATAAAGAATATTTATTTGATTAGGGTGTGGGGTGTGTGCCTAGACATTAACAAAATTAAGCAGTGAAAGTCACAGTCCATTTTAGTTCTGCTTAAATTAAATCTACATTACTGCTTTTTTTTGCACACTGGCTTTAAGAGCTTTTTTTTTATAGATTATATTAAGGTACATAAACTTGAAAGCATTTTGCATGTAAGAAAGGACTGTACATATGCAGTGATAGCAGTGTTTAATGCAGATCTTTTAGCACTAGTTTTTGACTGTAATGTGGTTTTGGGGAACTAGAGGAATAGACGTCTTAGAGCATTTTAGTCTTGTGCATTTGTATTATGAATGCACAGTTAAAGCTTTCATTGCTCTGACTTCTGGAATGAAATGCTATGTAGGTGAGTATCAGCTGGAATACATAAATTCTCTTTTTTATCTGTGTTGTAATTTTGCTTATGCTGAATGTACATGTGCACATGATCTTACTGTTTTTAAATGAACTAACATAATTGTCTGCAGAAGTGTTGTAAATACTTCTACTGTAGCATCACTGTTCTTTTGTTATGAAATAAGATTAAGAGTGAACATAATTTAATAGTAGAATTAAATTTTAAAAGTCATAATGCACTCCATTATGAAAAAAAAACAGTACTGGACTGCATGAAAACAATGGATCCCCACAAATTCCTTTTTAGAATATAAACAAGAATTACATTTTTGTTACCAAAATGTACATGTTGAATCTTAAACTTAGTCTCAAGCTGGTACCTCTTAGTGCCTCAAATTCTGAAACATTTTTCTTGTGATCTGTTTCATCTTTGGCTGATCAGAAACTTTCATTCTTTTCCTGTAACCAGCTGCAAAACGGAAACTCACATGTGGACTGAGTCTTGCACAAGCACAGAGATATATATACACGCACACAGGGTGTGTGCGTATATATATATGCACACTTGTGTTTTACCAAATATAAGGTGATTCTGTATGTAAGATCCATACTTTTCCTTTTTTTCCCTCCCCTGTTTTAGTAGGAGGAGGGCGACATACTCTTGTATTTTGCTTCTGTGCTTTCTTCTTTCTGTCCGTTGTCACTTTGCCTGATGACACTCTGTGCCTTGTCACTCATAACTTCCCAAAGCCCTTGCCCACTGCCACAGCCCACCCACCCTGTGCCCTCTTTTGTGTCGCATGGGTCCCGAGTTTGCTTTAGGCAGTGAGCACTTACAGGAATTACTGCCTCACATGGAAGCAAGCTCTTACCCAATCAGTAGTTCACTGGAACCTGAAAGCTGCTGATCCTATGGCCAGTGCAAAGGCAGTTTGTCCCAATCTTTTGCCTTTAATGCAGCACAGCACTAGAGCTAAGTGTCAGGTCCATTTTCTGGCCCACAGAAATCCCTCACCTTATACTCAGGTAAATACAAAACATACCACATGTATATTTTTTTCTTGTTAGGTTTATGCAGTCCATGAACAAAGAATTGTTTGAATTTCTAAAGAGAGAAATAATTTTAGTTTTCTGTAAAAGAGGGTATGTTTTTAAGTTAATGAGGCAAAATGATAAAATGAGGATGCAGCCGAATCTGGTCAATCACAGGAAAAGATGCAGTTCTTTGACTCAGTGCTGAAATGCTCAGGAATGTAATTTGAAGTATTTTGCATGTATTGATGTATTTGAAACATTGCAATAATTCCTTTGCTGTAGCCGTATGCCATATATGGCAATAGTCTAATGTAGGGAAGGACTTTTTATATTGTTCTCATTTAAGATACTGTGGTGATTAAGTCTCTGGTTTTAGGGTTGTTTTCTTTTCCTTTTTTTTTTTTTTACCACCTTCCAGTTTCCTTACAAGCATACACTTAACCACTCTTTCTCCATTCCCACCCTCTTATTTCTGTTTCCTTTTGAAGCTGCTCTTGGAGATAGCATAGTCTTTGAGGGCAACACCTTAGTTTCTCTACCACGACTACTCTGTGGCAGGTGCTTTTGGGGTATGGGTAAGCAGCCCCTTTTTTTTCCCACCTACCCTCCTCCATATAATCCTCTAGTAGCAATAATGCAGCTATAAAATCAGTAGTTTCTCCATGTGTCTTTACTCCTTTGTCTCTTAAAGCTTAACAGTAACCTTGTGATCCCCAGATTGTGGGCTACCAAATGATAGGATCTGTAAGAATTCAGAAACATGTTAAATCTGGAATGAAAGTACTAGAGAAATCGAGAGTAACTTCAGTGTAAGACAGAGCAGCCGGGCCCAGGAGATAGTTTGGTTATTGGGTTCCTTGCTACAAAGTATCTCTACAGAGCAGAGAAGATGCCCTAGAGCATGTTGTGAGGAAGATACTTAAAGACCTCACTGGGAGCAGGTTTCAAAACTGAGCAGGAGGTTGTGCTTATTTTATTTTGGCAGAGCTGGTTTGCACAGCTTCTAATTTTAAAATCATTAGATGCATGGGCTGGCTGGCTGATCCTTCATAAACAAGAATGAAATGGCATTTTTTTTTATAAATAGAGAATGTGATTGCAAACTGTACCAAACAACTATTTTTTAAATCTGTTTGCTGTTACATGGCTTCTAGAAGCGTAGGATGGTAACCTTAATCTTTATTTCTTCTTGGTGTGATAGACCATGCTTTTGAAGTTCTTAACTTTATCAGAAAAACAAAATGATTCATCTGCCTTGGGATTGGAACGCTGCTATTTCCATTTGCCTTTGCGCATTCAGATTGTGTATTGTGAAATGATTTAAAATTCTTGGTTTTGACCTATAAGAATAGAATTAACTCTGAAAATACATTAAAATTTTCTTGGTATTGTTGCAGAGACCAATGGGTCAGATAACTCCATCCCAATGGCATATCTTACATTAGATCATCAGTTACAGGTAATAAAGAATCTACTAAAGCATATATTTATCTTGCATTTCATTCTAATGTGTGAATTCTGGGCTGCAAAATATAGTGCCGCATATTTACCTGTGTTTATATTCTGTCTAACTTTTGACTAAGGCTAAAAAAATATATTATGTAATCTGAGATTGCTTGACTCAGATTTGATCAAGCTATTAAAAACAAGCCCTGGGAAACACGATCCCTAAAACCAAATGTAAGCTGAGTTTGACTGTCAAAATAAGACATTATTTGCTTGAGCGTTACTGAATTAAATTATTGTATTCACTTTATTTGTGTGTGGGATTAAACACTACTTTGATTTTTGGGATAGAGAGAGTGTCGGATTAAGAACTGCAGATTTGAGGTTTGAGTCAACTTTGACATCAGTGCAGTAACATTTCCCAGGGCATGGTTTAACACTTATTTTTAAAAGCTTACTGGTTTTTAAAAGACGTTATAAATACACTGCAGAGACATTCTAACACACTATATACTAAGATATCAGTTCATTAGTTTTTAACATGTCTGATTTATTTTCAGCCTCTAGCACCATGCCCAAACTCCAAAGAATCTATGGCTGTGTTTGAACAGCACTGCAAAATGGCACAAGAATATATGAAAGTTCAGACAGAAATTGCATTGCTGTTGCAGAGGAAGTAAGTGAAATGTGTTTAACCTTTTCTGTTCTTCTGTATGTTTCTTTTACACAAAGTCTGTAACCTGTGACTATTACTTCTGGTTTTATGATGTAACATTTCATAGGGCATGATTATTTTCCCGCCTTAATCTCAGAAGTGCTAAGCTGCTCAGTACAGGAGAGATATTAGAGCAGATAATTGAAAGTTTTGATCAGTATCAAGACTCTTCTTCTGGACAAGTCGTACTTTGAAGTGTGTGGCACATCTGTGTATGTAACATACTAGTAATGTTTGTTTGTATCATCTCAAATGAAAGACCTGGGCTATTGATGAACCTTGGAATTTTATTTCCAATGCTGTCCAGTAAAAGACTTTCAATTGTAATTTGTAGATAATCACTTGGATAACGGATTATAGAATTTTGAGTAATATATCAGTGTTACTCATTTTGCAGTTAGTTTTTGTCTTATATCTGACTTTTGTCAGTGATTGCATTTACAACAGTATTATCAACACACATCTTGTGGTTTTTCTACCAGGGATTTAGGACCTAATACTTAAAAGCCATTATGTACCTTCTTATCCTTGTGCACTAGAAATAAACTCTTTCCTCTTACATTGTATACACATGTAAGTGAAGCAACTGCATATATTGTTGGGCAAGGGCCAAAGTTATTGCTCATTCAGAACTTCAGTTTGCAATACATTCTGTTGTGTTCTGCTTCTCATCATTTCTGTTCCCTGACACTGGGGAGCAGTTCTGAGAGTTCATACATAACTCCCATGCTAGACCAAGTAATCAGCTTGTTGCCCACCAGTGTCTGAGCTGCTGCAGGCAAGCAGTTGTTAATGAGGAGCTTCCCTTGGTGTTTGTGGAATAGCAATGAGAAAAATGTGTGTATAAACCTCTTGTACATTAAAAACAGCATACAGAACAGGGAAAAAAGCTGCTATAAGATTGATCTCCTATTATCTATTCACTTTTGGCTTAGCATCATGAGAACAATTTTTTTTTCAAGTGCAACTAGAATTTTTATACTTCATGAGGAGATACTGAAGCTAGCGTGAAGATCTGAATTTTTGGTTTTATTTCTGTTGTCCCTGAGGGTCAATAAATCATATAAGAATGTGTTTCTGTTTCAAAACTGTTAATTCTGTACCTTTATATTCCTACTTTATCTTTTTTTCTAGGAGGTCTGCATACACATTTCTTCCAAACTGTTTTTTCTTAGTGAGAACATAATTGGTATTAAAACAAAAAATATTGTTGTGATTGATGAATTTAATGCTGGTTAAGGTAGTTATTAGTTCAACCCTTATAGAATGATTAAGTTCTCTTTAACTGTAATTACGAACCATATGGCAACAATTAATTAACATGAACTTTCTCCTCTACTATTTTGTTGCTAAAATATTGCTGGCAGCTTGCCTTCTTGTCACCTCACAAACAAATAGTAAACCAAACTGCTACATCAGTTTTGCAAGATAATTCATAGCAAGTTTATCAGTGTGTTTGTTCCTCTAAAATTGTTGCTAAAAAACATATTGAACGCGTATGGCATAAATTAAGTGAAATGACAGTTACAAAAATAATTTGTTTGATTCTGCTTTTCCACTGCTTTAAGAAGCTCAAGTCCAAATAGAAAACAGCAGTTCACTAAAAAGTTACCAAAATTATTGCAACTTTGTCTTTTAAGTTGCCTTTTGAGTTTTTAAATCTACATATAGTTAAGCAAAATTAGAGTTGAATATATTTATGAAATTCTGTGTGGATCCTTAGATGTTTTACTGTGACCTGTAGAACTATGTCTGAAAGACATTATGTAAAGGACAATTTTAAACATTGAGCGTATGGCTTTCAGCTATTTTAATGTTCAAATGTGGATTTGATTTGGAAGAGAATTTTTCCCCAGACTGCAGTAAAGAATAAGATTTTTTTTTTGCCAACATGGTTTTTTTTTTTTTTTTTTTCCACAAAATATCGCTAGCTATGCATTCAGACTGATAATCAGGTACTGATTTGAAACATATGAAGTCATCTACACACAAATAGAAATAGATTATAAATGACAATTACTTTTTTTTTTTCAATTTTAGACAAGAACTAATAGCAGAACTGGACCAGGATGAAAAAGACCAGCAAAACACATCCCGTCTGGTACAAGAACATAAAAAGCTGTTAGATGAGAACAAAAGTCTCTCAACTTACTATCAGCAATGCAAAAAACAATTAGAGGTCATCCGAAATCAGCAACAGAAGCGGCCAGGCACATCATGATTTCCTGGGACCTTTCAAATGAAAAATATGCACAGAAAAGACTGATATTTTTTTTATTGTTATTATTATCCCTTATTATGACAACTCATGAGTGTTAGCTTCTTGGTGTGATCTGTATTTGTCTGCTACACTTAACATCATTTAATTTTCTTTTTCCTTTGGTGGACATCCAGTTCAACAGGTTAATCAAATAAGGTGAGAAAACAATGACTTGAATTAACCAACAGCCCTCAGTTTAAAGCAAGAACAGTGGCTGTATGCATGATCCTTGTGTGAAGGCTAGCATAACAAGTGTTAAAGTGGCTGCTAAATTGTAAGATCTTGTTTTTAGTTTTTGGTGTTACCTCGATAAGAGCAAAACAAAAACTTTCCTGTTTAAGAATGGTTCTGTTCCAGTGTCTCATCTCAAACTATTAATATGATGATTATTTTCAGGACTTAAACATGCACCAAGCCGCAGAGGTGATGTTGGCTGACCAGAGTAATTCATGATGCATTAGTGATGCCTTTTACCTGTAGACATAGTGTATTTTTCCCACATGCAAAATGGTAGGCAAACTGATGCCAGCATCCTTGGTTCAGTGCTTGATAGCCCTGCATTTTGACTAATATATTTCTTGTAATCTTGCATTCATAAAACATTTGAAGTAAAAGGCTGTATTTTCTTTACTTTCTTGGGGGAATGACATGCAGTTTCATTTAGTTACTGGGAAAAAGTTCTGAAGGTGATTCACTGGGCAAAGTTGGTCCCTTGTATAAAAGAGAGAGAAAGAATCAAAAATGTGTGAAAGTGTGTTTTAAACCTTTAAAGCTTTTGTCCCTGTAGCATCTTTGGAAGGAAATGCAGAAAAATTAATACAAAGCTTTAAATACTTGCTCCTTTTATACCACTTCTTGGATTTTTTTTTTTTTTTCTTACAACTTACTTGCTGAAAAGCATTTACCATAAATGTAAATAAGTTTGTTTTAGATAGGGAGAGAGGGGTTTGGGGAAATGAATTTATTTTAAATAGCAAATTATGAAATGGAGTTGAGTATGCAAATAGCGGAAGCTATTAAGAAAATGAGGGAAATGGCTTGGATCTCCATCAGGAATCTCAGTTATTCCACTCATTTGAACATAGCTCAAAGGAAGTCCATCACAGAATGCCTGCTGCCTTTGTGACTGAAGAATTGCGTTTAATGAATTCAAGCAGAATATGTAATGATCAGTGTCATTATTTACCATTATTACATGGGAGAAAATAACTACTTGTTTACATTGCAGATTGATTATTTGGATTATGAATTAACTTTTAACTGGTACAAAAATGAGGTGCTTCTAAATATAATGAGAAATTATTCCATACATAAGCTCCTGGTGTACTCAGTTGTGGGCAGGGTTTTAATAACACTCTTTTGCAAAAGGAAAATACAAAATTAAAGTTTAGGTGCTGAGCCCCCAGAATATAAGAGAAGTAATCTGAAATTTGACTTACACTTATTTCAGATGAATAATTATTCATAAAGGCCCATGAGCAGAACTTGAAAAAACACTAAGGGTAAAAATCTCACAGTATTTTCTCTTCCCCTTCCTGCCTACCTGATAAAAAACATCAATACTGTTGTGCTTATCTGTGAACAACAAAGATGACGAACAGTTTACTGAACAGTTTCATCCTGTCTTGAAAACAAATCTATTGTTGGCAAACCTTTGGGAGTTAGAAATCCTTCCCTCATTTTATTTAAATAAAGGAAGGGTTATCATTCCCAAAACCTTAGTAGATAATTTGATTAGTTAGCTGAAACTGATATTGGGATCAACTTAAGGGCACACATATTTATAGCAAAATGTAATTGGCAGAGAAAATAACTGTAGTATTAGGAATAGCACAAGTTATCCGAAGCATTGCTGTTCACATACATCTGTCCATCTACCAAAATGGACACAGTCGGTGATCAGCAGCTTGCTTAACATGTGCTGAAGCATGAAGTAGAGCAGCGTAAATACTAGTGCTCAACTTCAGATGCATGGTTGATAATTACATACACAAAATCATTTCCCAGGATAGTTTTTACAGTTTGCCTTGTCGTAAAACAGATACGTTTAAGGTAAATCAGTATTGTATATGAAAAGTAACTTTATGGCAAAGTTTGAAAAATGAAAGTGAATGCAGTGCTAACGATACATAATACAAAAGTCTGTTCTAACAGTTGCTTATGACTTTTCAGGGTTTACATTAAAAAGGATCTCAGATTGTAAAATAAGTACTGTGCTACCATGCACTGTTGAACTCAGCTCCATTCAATAGTCAGGTTATATTGCTCTTGCAATTTTCAAATGGAATTTGGAGTTTGACCTTTTGCCTTCAAATTGTCAAATTTAAAAAGATTTTGCCCAGATTTTTCAGTGAAGTGTTCTGTGTGGCAAAGTCTGTGTATAATTACAAAAAAAAAATTATAAGGGTAGAATATAGTGGTTCGGGCTAAGAGTTTAACAGGTTAACTTTGTGACCTTTATTATTTTCATAAGGCTCTTGTTTTAAAGTTGTTTACAAATGTACTTTTATTTTTCTGTTGAACTATCTGGAGTGTTCAGGAATTTTTTCATGTACTCTTTTGTCCAGTTAAAGCTGTTCCTCTACTAATGGAGGTGAAACATCTAGTTTTGTCTGGGCACTGCCTTCTCAGAAAAAGTAACAGGCTCTGCTTTTTGTTACAGTATGTGTTCTGTAAGATATCATGTAATTGAAAGTATGCTTCTGTACACTGTGCAGTTCTGCCAAAAATGCTTTTTTTAGGCTTTTTGGGTTTTTTTTCTGAGGAGAAGTTAAAGATTGTAACTCAAAGCTTGTACATAAAATGGTGAATGATTTCATATGATTCAAGAATGAGCAGTGTGGCTTTCTGCTACAGGGTTTTATTGCATTGTCAGGAATCTAATTAATAAAAGCTGAGAGACTTCCACAAACATGTAGTAATGCCCCAACACTTGCCAGGGCATCCTTGATCTCTGATGGAATCCCACACAGGGTGGGGGATAATCATCGTGCAGTTGTTCCCACCGCCGAAAGAAAATTCTTCTGCTATTAGCTCTTCCCTTCCTGTGTGCCGAAGTAGGGTGTAGAATGAATAGTCCTACTCATAACTGAGTATCAGGATATTTTAAGAATGCCACATCTTGCATACGGATGTTCCGCAAAAAGATAAGCACTCATCTTTCATTGTTCAGTTAGGACAAATTCCATTCGCTGGAACTTCTCTATTTCATTTGTAATGGATTTTACTGCTTGAGAGTTTCTGTTGCCGTACCACAGACAGAGATGACCCCTTAACTGTCGTCTTGCCTGCGAAGAACACAAAATCGTGCTTCAGATCTGTTCTGAGCGGCTTTGAGCACCTCGGCCATTTCAGGTGCCCTGCTCAAACCTGCAGGAAAGTTTGAAAGGATAAGGGCAAAAAAAGGTGCGGCACACTCATCTCCTCAAAATACAGATTTCCCTGTGGTGAACTGGTCGAAGAGGAGGATCTTAAGAAAGTGAACCTGTGTACGAGTATGTGCACACGGATACACACTGTTATGTACTTATGTGTATAGGTGTAGAGAGCTGCGTATGTCAAATCAGAATTGATAGATGTCTTTACTTACAAAGTCTGAGCTTTCCGTAGTTAGCTTTTTTTTACTTTAATAATGTCACTAGGTGAGTGGTGCTCCAGGCCTGTGAGGATCAAGTTGTATAGAGACAGATAAATACGGGTGTGTGTATGTCAGAGTGCATCAGTTATTTTCTGTGCCTGTGTAACCCTTTTCTACTTCTTGCAGGGACGGTTCAGATCTCCCACCGCGCTTGGACAGATCTGCTACAAATGTTTTGACTTTCAACCTGCATCCAGACTCTGGTCACGGAGGGGTGCTTAATGAAAGAGCAAAGCTGAATTTAGACCAAATACTTCAAATTTTTAGTTATTAATAAAATACTGTCTTAAAATACTTACAGAGCACTGCTACTCCTAGGGGTTTAACCTAAACAAGCATTAATGAAAAAAAGGTTTTTATTCATAGCTGCATGCTTTACACTAAGTAGCTAAAAATTTGAGATACTCTGAAAGATAAAATAGGCTTGCGTTCACCTAATTACACATGCTTTCCCCTTCTAACTTGGATAAAGCCAGCTGAGCTACTCTTAGGCTTGGGAACCGTTGCCTTTTACGGAGGGAAAG